TAGGGCAGGAGTTGCATTTATGTAGGCTAGTGTGGTGAGCCTCACTGCAAATCTGACAGGCTACTCTACTACATCTAGTCTCAAGGTGGCCAAAACCTTGGCATTTAGAGCACTGCTTTAAGTTGTTAATAACTCGTAGCTTCTCTGCTCTCAGGCTCTCTCCGAGAATATAGAGCTTTCCTCTAATAGCCTTTAGAGCCTCCTCTTCAGTTGCGAAGGCGACGCAGGCGGAGCCATAGCTCTGCTGTCCTCTCTTAGCCTCAGGAGTGAGCCAGAAAGGGGTGCCTACTACTTTGAGGCCTTTGTTAAAGGTCTCAATCTCCTCCTTGATTACCTCTAGGCCGTGGTTAGTAGGTAGTCTATGGACGACTACTTTGAACCACGAGGTAATGGGCTGAGCTACCTTGAAGGCTACTAGATCCTTCCAGATACTCTGGTTTTCTAGCAGGTAGTTGGCTGTAAAGGCAGGTGTAGTAGTGACTACCTTATTCCCTTTTGAGGATAGCGTGACTGAGGCGACTACAGGCGATTGCACCCCTCCTTTTAAGGTGAAGGCTTGGTTGAAGGCATTTCTTAGCCTGAGGGCGTCAAAGGCAGCAGGGCCTCCTTGGTTGACTAGGACTAGCTGCCTCTCCTTTAGGCTAGGCTTAGCCTTTTGAGGTGCCTTCTTCTGCACAGTAGTCCACTGTTGCTCCTTATTTGCTGTTGCAGCTGCGGCGTACGATATAGGCTGCGTAGGAGCAGCTGTCTGTCTATTACCCTGCTGGTTTGGTTGTGCAGGGGTAGGTTTGTCGAGGCGGCGAACCTTGTCTCTTAGCTCCTTAGAGACGTTTGAAAGCGAGGAGATCTGATCTCCTAGAATTGCTGCGTTCTTCTTATTAACTCGGCCTGTCTCAGTGTAGTCTCTAAAGACTTCTACTAGGTCGAGCAGGCTAGTCTGCTGTGAGGGGTTGCTTTCAGCTAGACTAGCTGCTTGGACTACTAGGTTTCTAGCTATCTCGAGGGCCTCTTCTACTGTCGTAGCCCTAGGTGTTTTGTTTTGGCTAGCGAAAGGATTCCTTAGTGTTGAGCCAATAAAAGGCGAGAAGTTGCTTCTAGTGCGGGTGTGTGTGGGTCTATTAGGCTCGGCAGGTAGGTCATCTACTGTAGAGGGGGGTGTGCTATCCCTAGGGCGCG